CCCCCTGGTGGGCTGAGCTGGCCACACACACAATAAATAAATGTAATAAATAAAAATAAATAAATAATTTAAAAAAAAAAAAAAAGGAATGAGGTTCAGGGTGCGAGCTCTTACCCTCTCGCTGGACCACCAGCTCCTGGAAGTCGAGGGCAAGGAGAGTGAGGAGGGAAAGAGTGCAGTGGCCAAGCCTCTGGCCTTGGCAGCTGTGAGAACGGCAGTGACTTTGGGAGGCACTTGGCAAAGCCGGACCACCAGAGGCGCAGTTTGTAAGGCTGATGGTAGCAGTCACGTTCCGCACCCTACATGAGGTCAGGCGTCATGGCACATGTCTCTAATCCCAGCTCTCGGGGAGGCAGGAAGACTGCTGCAAGTGTGAACCCAGCCTGGGCTACAAAGTGAGTTAAATGCTAACCTATACTGCATAGTAAACCCTGTCTCAAAAAGACCATAAATGGGGCCAGGGAGATGGCTCAGTAGAATAAGCGCTTGCTTGGCAAGCGCAAGGGCCTGAGTTCAATCCTTGGTTCCTCCAAAAAAAAAAGACAATAAATGGACAGATGAATGGATGAACAAATGAAGGAACGTCATATGAGCAAGTCAGAAAGAAAGGGGAGAGTGTGGGGGGCACGTGGGGCGAGTGACAGTCTCCCCTCCTTTCAGGGCATGGTGGCTGTGTCTGGCAGTTTGTCTGTGCTTCTGGATTCTATCATCTGTGCTCTCGGCCCCTTGGCGTGTCTGACCACACAGCTACCTGAGCTGAACGGCTGTCCCAAGCAGGTCTTGGTGAGTTTGCCTGTTGTCCTTGCCCGGAGGGGCCCAGGCTCCTGGGGAATCAGCAGGTCAGGGACTGGCTCCTGAGCTGCCTCCATCTCCCTGGGCGTGGAGTGCAGTGCTGTGCTATGAAGTGCTGCGCTTGAAGTGAGACCAGCACTGGGGACATGGACCCCAGCCGGGAAGTACTGTACCTCCTTGTTTCCTGTTCGCACATCTGTGCACCCAGACAGTTGGGGATTCTCTGCCTCACTGATACTGGGATTAACAGGAGACGTGAGCAGAGTAGCTCCTGGTGTAACAGTCCGTCAGCTGGCTGCATCTTGCCCCCTCCTCACCCTCGGCTGCTTCCACTTCCCGCCCCTCCCAAGCAGTGGGAAACACTCCTCAGCTGAACCTCTTCTTGTTTTGCAGTCAAACACACTAGACAACATTGCTTACATCATGCCTGGACTGTGACCACAGAGCACCCTGGAACAGAAGCCTCCCCGGCCCTTTTGCTGGTTGGTGTACAGATCACTGTTGCAGACCCTTCACTGGCCTCTGGGTGTGGGTTTTTAATTTTTATATCTATATCTATATATATTATATACATATATAATGTACAGTATATAGATAGGACTGTAACTACTTTGCTTTAGTAATTTTATGATTTTGCAAAGGTGTAGCCAAGAGGAAACTTTGGCAGGAATAAGGGCTTGGAATTTATTCTCTGTGGTGGTTAAATCTGCCTTAAAAATCAGTGTCACCTGTGACTGGGGTCTTGTTCTAGGTACCAAGTGTGCCTGTTACAGACAGCTAAAGTGTGATTTTTTTTTTTTTTTTTCCTAAATCAGTGGTACCTCCAGACCCATCACTGACCATTTGCCTTATCTGTCGTACAGCTGAAATGTAATAAGGATTAAGAGAAATGCTGGCTGACCTAAAGTGACCTTGGTGGGAGGTGACAGTGTCCTGCCCACCATTGCTGTTGAGCACTTAGGTGGGCTGAGGAGAGGTCGTTGCAGTCCCTTCACAGCATCCACCTCCCACAATCACATTGGAAGGGGCTGGTGACACAGTTCAGTGGCATAAGTGCCTGCCTGGCAAGCACAAGGTCCTGAGTTCAATCCCTGGTACCAAAAAAAAAAAAATCAGAGTGTACCTTTGGCAGCCTTGAGGGACACCAAGGGCTGCATGACTCATGGCAACGAGAAGTCCCTGAGAGGGTGAAGCTGCCGAGGTCCAGCCGGGCCACAGTATTTGGTCTGCAGACCCAAGAGCTGGCATCTTTCACTTGGCAACGCTAGATGGGCCACCACGTCCCCAGATGCTACTGCTCAGTGTCTCGGTGGTTATGGAAGATAGACTTGGTCCCACATCACTCGTGGGTTTGTCTTAGCGCCTCCCTTCCAGCAGACACAGCACTCTGTGTCTCACGTGAGTGCACTGCAGAACGACTCCAGTCTCACGTAGATTTATTTATGTGTGTGTGAACGTGTATTTTAATTATGTGTATTTAACTCTTAAATTTCTTAGATTTTAATTTATGCTGTAAATTTCTGTATATATAATTTAATAACAAAACCTCCGCCACCAGCGGTGTGTGAAAGATACAGATTAGTCATTTCTCCTTTCTCCCTTCTGGTCTCTTCTAAAAACTTCAAATCATCTATACTTTAAGGTTTTATATCTCAAAAAAGAATCATTGTATTGCGGTTCTAATTCTTTATAAAGAACTTCAAACCTTTCAATAATGTCAAAAACGTGAAATAAAGAAGTATTACCCTTCCCTGCTACCCTTATTTCTAAAGAGCAGACCTGTGTCCCAGGTGGGATGAACTTGACAGTGGCTGGTTTAGGTGGCTCCCTGCGAGCCACGCTGGCATGGCCAGTGGCACCATGGGGCTGTGGGGCCATACGGTCCCTCCTGGCCAGCGTTGTCACAGGGCAGGGCTCCTCAGAGCCATGCTGGCACTGAGCTCACAAGCGCAGAGCTGTTCCGTAGCTTGCTCAAGGAAATGGGAATCAGGGAAAGCAGGACGTTGGCTTGCCCGTGCCAAGCCTTGTCCAGCCCTCACCCACGGAAGCTTCTGCGAAATGTGACTGGGCAGGGTGGGACACAGGAAGCCAGGCAGACCTTCACCTTGTCTAGGACACACGTGCCTCGCCAACAGACGGCTCTGACCCACCAGCGCCACAGGCGTGACAGTCCCCTCCCATCAGGTGCTGTGGGCCATCAGTGACTCCCCTCCCATGGGAGTCACTCACAAACCACCAATGGCTCAAGCCGGAGAACTGTTGATGGAATCCTGGGAAGAACCTGCTCTGTTTTCTTGTGTTTGTTTTTTCCTTTGAAACCCAGCCCTGCTATATTTGTATTTAAGATTTGTGCACATTTGTATGATAATCTGTATCTTGTGGTATTTGGTACTTAATAGAAGAAAAACTTTGGATTCAGACCCCCTCTTGCAGTTTTTATATCATTTTATTTTGTTTTTTAACTTCCAGTGGTTTGACCCAAATCCCATTATGACTGTATAAAGAAATAAGATTTTGTACTTATATTATTAAAAAAAATCACATTTTAAATATTTGTAGTTTAGTCTCAGCTGTCTTTTCCCTAATCATGCTAATCGTATTTGCTGTGAAATTAGAAAACTTGCTCTTTTTCACATTTTTTCCTACCAAAATTTTCTCTAAAATAAAGAACTAAGGTAGAGGCATAGTTACTAACCTCAGCCACTTTTCTGATGTGCATCTTACTGTCTGTTAACCTTTACACCCTGAACACCCTTGACTGGTGGCTTAATTTTGAGACTGCGTCTCGCTCTGCACTTCGGCTGGCCTTGTGCTCACTTTTGTAGCGCCCAGGTTAGTCTTGAACTCACAGTGATCCTGCTGTCTCAACCACCCAAGTGCTGGGATTACAGACGCCTGGTTCCTGGGACGACACAGCGTGGTCACTTCTCCCTTCTTCTGGTCTGTTCTAAAAACTTCAAATCATCTATACTTTAAGGTTTATATCTCAAAAAACAATCATTGTTTTGTGGTTCTAATTCCTTATAAAGAACTTCAAACTCTTCAATAATGTCAAAACTGTGAGATGAAGTATTACTCTTCCTCACTACCCTATTTCTGAAGAGCAGAAACCCATGCTGCGCCAGGTTTCTGGGGCCAGCACAGCATGTGGAGCCTGGGATCAAGCTCCGGACCTTGTGCTTGCCAGATAGGTGCTTATGCCTCTGAGCTATCTCCTCGGCCCCGTGACTGTCTTTCACAAATTGATGGCTCTTGCCGTTTCCCAGTATGCAGAACTGTGAACATCCTGGTGCTGTCCTGTCAGCATGAGGGTGGAGCAGAAGCCTGTGCCCACCAGATCCATCCCTGCTGTGTCTGGCCTCTCGCCTGGTCTGCTCAGCTTGCAGTCCCACCTGTAAGCCTGTGGCTAATCTAAACTTTGGAGGAAGGATGTTTGTTTTTCTCTGTACTTAGGACAGGGTCTACAGGGTCTCACTACGTAGATCAGACTCATAGTGATCCTCCTGGGGTTTTTTTGTTTTTGATCCTCCTGTTTTCAGCCTCCCAAGTGCTGGGATTACAGGTGCCCACCACACGCAGTCTCAGTCACCCTCTCGGTGTGCCCCGTGGGCGGGACCACCACAGCACCCCGGGGATCAAACCCTGGCTGCTGCGCTCTGCCTAAGCAGGCACTTCAGTCCACTGAGCTATCAAGCCAGCCCAGGATATGTTGATTGTTCTGTACAAGTGTTTAAATGAGATAATACACTTATGCAGCATGGTAAAGGGGACTTTTTTACCCTTAGCAGTAGATAGTAATAGTACTAGTAATTGTACTAAACTATTTAAAAGGAAAAATTAAGCATACCTTAATGAGTTCCTTATTAGCACATACTTTAAAAGCAGGTTTTTTTAATGTATTTTTTTGTTGTTGTTTTTTGTTTTTTTGAACATTTTAAACACTTTTTAATGTATTTTGGACAGGGTCTCACTATGCAGCTTGGACTCGTGATCCTCCTGTTTTCAGCCTCCCCAGCAGTGGGATCACAGGTGTGTACCAGCACATCTGGTCTCGGTGGTGGTTCATTGTTCCTGAGGCCAGTACGGCATGTGCTGCAGGAGATTGGTCCCTGCGCTTGCCTAATAACACTTTTTATCAATTTAGTACTTTCTTTCTTTGAGCTCCAGACTGAACCAGAGTCTTTGCATCTACAGCTTCCCTAGCCCTTTTCTGTTATCTTTTGTGGTCTTTGGTTGTTTGGATTTTTGTTGTTTTGAGTCAGCATCACTAAGATGCCCAAGCTAGGTTCAAACTTGTGATCTTCCTGCCTCAGTTTCCTAGAGTACTGGGATTGCAGGTATACCCAAGCAGGCCTGGCAGTTTTGTATTAAGAATGTTTTCTGTTCACATCCCTACGTATTGTTTTGATAAAATTAATGCACATGTGCCAGGAGTGGTGGCGCTGGTAATCTCAATGCTCAGAAGGCTGAAGTAGGAGGTGTATTGAGTTTGAGACCAGTGTGGGCTGCCAAGTAAGCTCAAGGCCAGCCTAGACCGTATAACAAGACCCTGTCTCAAAAAATAAGCTGGGTGTGATGGTGCGTGCCTGTAATTCCAGCACTTAGGCAGCTGAGGCAGGAGTACTGCCACAAGTTCAAGGCCAGCCTGGAAAACACATCAAGATCCTGCCTCAAAAAGTAAAATCAGGAAAAAAAAATGATTAAAAAATAATGGGGCCGGGAAGATGGCTCAGTAGAATAAGTGCTTACCTAGTAAGCACAAGAGCCTGAGTTCAATCCCTGGTTCTACCAAAAATAAAAATAAGTAAAATCAGGGTTGGGGGCATACCTCGGCAGCAGTAAGTGCCTGCTTAGGCAAGCACAGGGAGCTGGGTTTGATCTCAGGTACTGCATGCTGTGCTGGCCCCACACCACATAGGCCACCAAAACCAAAACTGGGCGTGTTGGCGTGCCTGTAACCCTAGCGCTGGGGAAGCTGAGACAGGAGGGTTACTGAGTCCGAGCTTTATCACAGAGCTTCCTCGCAAGGCCCTGCACAAATAAATCTAAAATAAAGCCACACTTCCCCTTCCCTAGAAATAGCTACTCAGGATTTGTTTCTGAAGAATAAAGTTTATAAAAGCCTTTAGCAAATCATCACCCAGTGGGGATAATAAAAGTCATGAGGGTCCCACAACTATAATCATTGGAGACCAGCCAGTCTGAACTACAAATCGGAAACCCCGTCACAAAAACCAAGTCGTCAATGAAAACATCTAAAAGTTCTCTCTCATGAAGAAAGAAGTGAAGTGCCCTGACGGGAAGCCATCTTAAGTGTACATCCCTGCAGCTCAGGAGCGTCTACTGAAACTCCACACACGAGTCGTGTTGACCAGCCCAGCACCCAGAGCACCTAGGCGGGCGAAAGCGCAGGGGCGGCAGGCCTTCCCGAGCACTGCTGAGGCCACAGGGCAGTTTTCATGCTGTGGACGGTGGACCCCACTGCGAGTCAAAGTGCACACAGCACCAATCGCAGAACTGACCGAGTCCTCCCTAGGTTTCCCGTAGCCAAAAGGTGTGGCAAGTCAGCTCAGCCCTTCACGTTGCAAACTTCACAACATGTCACCCTAAGCCACGGGGCACCCCGGGGGTCCAGGTCCGCTCTGCAGTGCTTCTCTGCTACCCGGAGGCGGGTGCGTGCACGCTGGTCCGCTACCCCAGGGGCTGAAGAAGCGGCCTCAGGATGAGTAAAGCCTTTCAGGGTCTCAGCCTGGGCTCTCGGGGACTCTCGGGTTAGGAGCAAAACCCAACCGGCTTTTGTTCTTCACAAAGGCCTACTGCTTTCTCCAAATCTAGTCAGAGAAGCCAACGACATTGGAACAGTGATCCGGGGTCCCAGATCTCACACAGGGAGGATGGGGGTTCGTGTGTGCATGCTGACAGCTCCACGTGTGGCCAAGCTTCCCACGCTAGCCGGCCACACAACAGCTGCCTGAGCTCCACGCCTCGCACCCTCTGACATAGATCCCTGGGCCACGATGCAGATCGCTAGCCCACAACACAGATCCCTGGGCCACCACGCAGATGGCTGGGCCGCGACGCAGATCCCTGGGCCACGACGCACATCCCTGGGCCACGACACACATCCCTGGGCCACGACACACATCCCTAGGCCACGACGCACATCCCTGGGCCACGACGCAGATTCCTGGGCCACGACGCACATCCCTGGGCTACGACGCACATCCCTGAGCTACGATGCACATCCCTAGGCTACACATCCCTGG